CAGAATTACCATAACCTGGAATTTCCATGTAATCCAGTTTTCTCCAGTGAACTTAATTACGGCTTGATATGAGTTTTCCATTTTCGTCGTCTTGTCGTTGCACACCGAATATATTTTTTTGTTAACCTAACCTTGAAGCTCAACGCCTCGAAGTATCTCGACGATTCTCCTTTTTTTGATTCTATCTTAGGCCCCCTTTTTATCTTTTAGAGCACTGGGCCCATAACCTGTTGTCTTTTGGGACACTTAGAAACAAAATCACTAATTCTAAGAGAATGTATAGGATTTTATTTTAGGCAAAAAGTATACAAAAACGGTTAAAGATTCTCTTACAAAATATATGTATGTTCCAAAAAGCATAAAGAAGAATGCGTGTTCACAAAAACATAAGATTATAACGCACCAATCTGCCATCGACTTCCAACAAAGTTATTTCCCATAACAAAAAGGGCGGGAATAATCGCAAGGAATGGGACTATTTACAGGCATAGAATATTTTTCAAATTTATATTTGAATAAAAATATATGTATGCTTTTACGATGAATTTATACATACAATATAATTTGATCGTAAATATTTCTTCTGTCATATATTTCTTTAGATAATGCAAGAACTGTTTACTGATAAACCGTGGATACAACCCTTATCAGTGGCAGAGTCACATGTAAATGAGACAGAGGAAAAGGAGAATATATTAGAAGAAAGAGGTAAGATACAGCATTTCTTATACAGATAGTGAAATACATTACACTTTACAGTTCTATATCTAATATTTATGGTTGTGGTTGTAGGTGTTGAAATCGAAGGGAAAGTAATAACAACTCAGATCCGATACAAAGGCAAAGAGACAACACGAAAAGATGTGTAATTTATTACTAGAAGAACATAGAGTACATAAAGTAAGTATAGATGGGCACACAGCGCTATAGAGGACGCAGTTGTAACATAGATAACAGAAATAACTAAAAATAACTAGAAGAGTTTGATCTATAATTAATGCTTTGATTTTACTTACAACATCCTCACTAAATCAAAGAATCTGACGTACTAACTAATCCTAAGCTTTTGAGAAATTTATTGTGTTTCACAAAAAAGGCTCTTAGTCAAAATATCAGCAGTCATGTCGGCCGATGCAAGATATTCAACTTTTATATAATTGTTAGAAACAGCATCTCTTATAAAATGATATCTTACATCTATGTGCTTCTTATGATGTACGGAGTTTACAGATAATTTTTGAGCACTTTGATTATCGTTGAACAGAGTAATACAATGTAGATTTCCAGTTAATTCAAATAATAAATTTCTGAAATAAATTGCTTCCTTTGAAGCTTCAGCCAACGCCATATATTCAGCTTCGCAACTGGATAACGCCACAGTTTTCTGTTTATTTGATTCCCATGAAATTGCTGAACCCGATAACATAAACACAAAACCAGTACACGACTTTCTATCTTTAACATTACTTGCCCAATCGGCATCTACAAAGTCTCTTAACTCTTTATCTTCCTTAACATATTTTAAAACATAATCTTTGGTGCTTTGTAAATATCTTAAAACTCTCTTTGCGTATTGCCAATGAGCAGTTGTATAACAGTCATTAAACTGACTTAGAAAACTAACGCAAAAACTTATGTCTGGGCGAGTCAGAACAGCTAAATACATTAGACTTCCTATAAGTTGTCGATAGGGTACATTTTTATTGCAAATAACGTCATTTTCGTTATTGAAAGATATATTTCTATCCATAGGGGTATTAGCTTTTTTACTTTCTCTCATATTAAAACGTTTTAACAGCTGATCAATGTATTACTCTTGATCCAATGTTATATATCCCTTATCATAATCTCTGTTAACACGCATACCTAAACAATTCTTTACTCTTCCTAAATCTTTAATTTTGAACCTTGAATTTAATTCTCTTTTTACACTTTTTATTTCACAGCTATCATTTGAAAAAATAAAGAAATCATCTATATATACTGCAACCATAGTCATTAAATTACCTTTGTTCTTGATATATAAACATTGTTCTGTATTCGACTTTCTATAGCCTATTTTTAACAATACTTCTTCAACTCTTATATACCAAACCCGTGATGACTGTTTTAAACCATAGATTGCACGTTTTAACTTTAATACTTTAATTCCATCACTACTTTCTTTTTCAAAAGCTTCAGGTTGTTTCATGTATATATTTTCTTTTAAAGAACCATTAAGAAAAGCTGTAGTTACATCTAGATGCCTAATTTCAAGATTCAATTTCACTGACAAAGCAAATAACAATCTTAAGGTGGAATATCTTACCACAGGAGAGAAAGTTTCGTCAAAATCTATGCCCTGAGTCTGAGTGAAGCCTCTTGCCACTAATCGAGCACGATAACGTGGTTTATTCTCACTGTCTATTTTGCGCTTGAACACCCACTTACAATCAACAACAGTACCGTTAGTTGGTGCGTCAACCAAATCCCAAGCATCATTTTCTTCAAAGGAATCCATTTCTTCTTTCATGGCCTGTTTCCATTGGTCCTTGTCTATTCTTGATAATGCTTCCCTTACCGTTAATGGGTCACTGGCTAAATTCGTTTCGGTGGTCTCTTCTACACACATGTACGTTACGAAATCATCATACTGCTTAGGTTTTGGTTCCCTTTTTGATCGCCTTACTTCAGGTATTTCGCTGTCATTATCGATGTGCTCCTGATGTTTGTCTGAATTTTTAAATGTGCGCGTATTGCTTGCTTCTCCCATTGAATCTTCTGTTGCATCTTTTATATCCTTTGATGTACTTGCATCGGGGTTAAGCATAATCTTCACCATAGTCTCTGTATTTTCCATTACTACATCTCGACTGGTTATAACAGAGTTACTTTCTGGATTGTAGATTCGATATCCTTTAGTACGATCTCCATATCCAACTAGTATCATCCTTGTGGATTTTTTATCCCACTTGAGCCTTCTATTTTTAGGGATGTGTACCATAGCCGTGCTTCCAAAGATTCTCAGGTTGCTAATGTCTGGTTTTCTGCCAGTCCATAATTCAAGCGGCGTTTTATTATTTAGTCCAGATGTCACATATCTATTTCGCAGATACACTGCAGTATTCACTGCTTCCACCCAGAATTTTTTGTTTAATTCTACATCGAATAATAAACAACTGGCTTTTTCTACAATGGTTCTGTTCATCCGCTCTGATACGCCATTTTGTTCTGGTGTATAAGGATTCGTCCTCTGATGAACTATGCCAGCATTCTTTAGGAAAGTTTCGAATTCTTCGCTGCAGAATTCTCCCCCGTTGTCCGATCTCAGTATTTTTATTTTTGAATCCAATTGATTTTCAACCATGGATTAAAATTTTTTAAAACATTCAAATACTGAGTCTTTTGTCTTGAGAAAATACACGAAGGTCATCTTGCTGAAGTCATCTTCAAAAATCAGGAAATATCTTGAGCCACCAATGGATTTAACTTCCATGGGACCACATACATCGGTGTGCACAATTTCCAGTAGTTTGTTGGCTCTACTTCCCTTTTTGTTAAATGGGTATCTCGATTGCTTACCTTCACAGCATACTAGACAGTTTTGTTCAACTCTGCTGGTATCATTTTGACACATCAAACCTTCAACGACACCACTTTTCATTTTTATCAAGTCATTGTAATTTATGTGTCCTAATCTGCGATGCCAGGTTTCCATTGTTACACTATTATTTGCAAGAAAACATTTTTCTGACTTGTCGACATTCAATCGATAAACATTGTCGATTAAGTCTGCTATAGCTACTAGCTTATGTTGTTTATTAAAAATTTTACAGTCATTTTCCTCGAACTTGACTTTATTACCATTCTTTATTAGCTGACTTACTGATAATAAATTTGTGGTTCGTTCTGGCACGTACATTACATTCTTTATGGTAACCTCAAATTTTTTTGTTGTTTTGTTTTGAATCACTTTTGACAATCGTAGTGATTCTTACATCACCTTGACTTGATATCGGTACCTTTACTTTATTAGCCACCATGATTTCTCGTAGATCCGTGTTTTCATGTTCTCCTTCCAGCCAGTCCTTCCTTGTTGTTAAATGTACACTCGCTCCCGAATCTATGTACCATTCGTCTTTTTGAAATTGTCCACTTAGAAAAACTGCACTAAATGTTGTACCACATTTAGAGTTCTTTAAGTTAGAGTATCTTGTGTCATAATTCTTCTTAGGACATTTATGAAGTGACCAATCTGCTTACATTTGAAACACCTTGGCTCTTTCTTATCATCTTTTGTGTTTCGGTCTGCTCCTTTTTGGTTGCTGCTCGTTTGTGTCTTATGTGACTTATGTTCAAACTTGTGATCTTTACCTATAAAAGCGCTGCCTGTCTTACTGACTTGATTTTCCATATCCATGAGTTTTGTTTTGATACAATCTGCCGTGATAGCGATTCCAGAATGTTCTATGGCCATGATCATTGGTGAAAACTTTTCTGGCAAACCTGCCAAAAGTAACGAACCAATCTATTCTTCATCAATGTTAAAACCCGTGCCTCTCAGTTTTTGAGCTGCCTCCACGACTTGATTAACGTATGATCCCATCGAATCACATTCTTCCAATCGCATGGATATCAATGCACGCAATAGGTTAATTCGTCTTGTGAAGCCGGAATCGTCAAATAGTGCTTTTAACTTAGTCCACAGATCCTTCGTTGTACTAACCTCTTTAATGTGCACATAAAGCGATGCATCAATTGTTAGTACTAATTTCGCCTTTGCCTGCTTATCCTTATCGGCAGTTTCAGTTCCTTCTATATAGCCAGATAAACCGTCAAGTACCAACATGAGGTTTGTTTTCTGTTCCTGCACTGGTTGCACTAGTTCAAAAAGTGTACACTAAAGCGTTTTCTGTTCCCAAAATGGCGTCAGCGATGCTGTTTTTTGTTCCAGTGTAACAGAACTCAGTGTACGAGTTCACTGAACTGGCTGCCCTAGGTCTTGAGTCAGTGCAAGCAGTGCAAGCACTGGTGTGTGCACTAGTTCAGCTACAGAAAACAGATCTTTTAGAAATCGTAATTACCGAACATCAAATTTGTAAGGTTAGAAAGTCATAATACATAATAATTAATAATAAAATATTACATATTTTTATGAGCAATAATTTCCGTACAGAAATTACTGCTTATAAGAATGTATTATATAATATTAATATTAATTATTATGCATTAGAATGACTTTCTAACCTTACAGATACACATACCAGTATCTAAACAAATATCTTTTTCATGTACTTGCAATTTCTTAATTATTTTGATTATTTTGATTATATTGTTGAAATGACCGTATTTTATCTTGCAGAATACGGTACAATCAGAAGTAACCGAGAATATATTTTTTCGAATAGTACAGCACATATGCAGAATCGATGAAAACCGTGTTTTTTTTGTGGAAAGTATTACTTCCTACAAGGCCCATGATTATTAATAAAATGATATCCCCTATCATTCACATGGAAATGTTGGATTCATCTGATGAAGATGAAAATATTAATGCGTTACCTCCATTAGGGACATTCTTACTTGAAGATAATAATAGTACGAAATATTTTTATGTCCTATCATTTATATATCTTAATATCATTTATATTGGTATATGTATAAAACCTAATTTATCATGTCTTACATTGTAGGATATGAAGAATTACAAATATTATATCCTCTATTTGGATTTGTGCAACGAATAGAACACATAAAAGTGCAAAATTATATTGAAAGAATTGTGTATAGTTATGATAATGTGGATTTTATAATGCATTTTAGATTGTCAAGGACAGTGGTATATGAATTGATACATTTATTTGAAATATCAGATATATTTACAAGTATGCAAGGTAATTTAATGTATATTTTTAACTGTAAGAAGAAGTTGGAAATAATGATTAAACTAACAGAAAATTAATTAGAATGAAGACTTGTGATTCTTAAAAAGAATTAGGGAGCGTTTATACTGGCCGTAATGCCGTAATCTGTAAGAATTTATCAATCACAGTCGAATAATCCTTTTCATTCAACTGTAAAGGGGAATACTTGATTAGTCAATTCTTACATATTACATAGTACTGTGATTAGTCAATTCTTACATATTACGGCATATGAATATGGCCAGTATAAATGCTCCATATTATTGATATAAGTTTCTATATACAGCTTATTATAATTACTTTTTTAGATCGTGGGGAATGTTTAAAGATAACAGCGGAAAAACATATATTGTGTTTTTTATGGTTCGTCGGACATGAAGCTGGGTCCTATCGGGATATAGCTGACCGATTTGGAATTGCCATTAGTACCTTGTATAACATAATTACGAGAGTCACAGAATTTATCATGACGTTGGCACCTAACGTAATAAGGTATCAAACATCAGAGGAAAAAAAAGAAACTGCAAATTACTTTCTTCAACAAAAAGGATTTTCTAATGTCATTGGTAATATACTGTACCTGTTTATGTTTTATTATAAATAGGCTTATTTATACTGATTTATTATAAATGTTATATATATATATATATATATATATACTTATATTTATATGTACTTATTTAGGTGCTCTAGATGGTTCTCATATCAGAATCGACAAACCAGTGGAAGATGCCGATTCTTACATTAATCGTAAGTAATATTTTTCATTGCACATTCAAGCGACAGTTAATCACAAATTGAAACTTTTGGATGTCTTCATTGGATACCCAGGTTCTGTCCATGATGCTCGAGTATTTAAAAATTTATCATTATATAATGACTTACGTGAAATATGTGGAGGTTTGTTCAAATTGGAAAATAAGTAAGACAAAAGAAATGACAAAGCTAAAAATTGGTATTACAATGTTATTAATATTGTTCTAGATAGATACTATTTCTTAGGAGATAGTGCATATCCTTGTTTATTACAAGTAATCGTTCCGTATAAAGACAATGGACACTTAACACGAAAACAAAGAATTTTTAACCAAAAATTAAACTCGTGCAGAGTTATTATCGAAAATTCATTTGCCATTTTAAAACAACGGTTTCGCCAACTCTATCATTTCAAGTTAAGAGATATTCCACGTATGGTACGTGTTATACACGCATGTTGTGTTTTACATAATTTAGCTAACATGAAAGATTTAGAATTGTTCCAAGCACCTATACACGATGAGGAACCAGATGTACAAGCACAAAATCAATATATGTATAACAATGAAGCAGTAAGACAATATGAAACAGGCACAGACAGACGGAATGATATATGTAATGAAATAACTTGTTAAAATATATACATATAATGGAAGATAGCAGTATCTTCGATAATACCGAATTAATTATTACATATGCTATTTTGTGCTTTTCCAAAATATATATTGTGGATACATTACATTTTAATGAATTTTTTGAAATTTGTATCAATTCTTGCAAAATGTTATCGCGTTGCTCTTGTAATTTATTGGCCTTAATAGACAGCTCATGTTTTTTCTATTAATTCTTTATATGACTTATTTTTTGTTGCTCTTCTAACATTTATCGCTGTATTGCCATTTTCACTTTCTTTACATATGTCAAAGTTATGATAAAATCGCAGATGCCAAATACATTTTTTTGCATTTTTAATAATAATATCTTTGTAAATGTATATAGTAGTATCTCTATAAAGTAGTATAGTCAAATGCAGCCTTGGCCAAAAAAATTAGACATTTTATCAACATTATTTAAAGTTCAACTTTAAAATTGATTTATAAGACAAAAAAATAAAGACAGTGATCAAGAGAAGTAGAAGTCAATGATTTAAACATTAGCTACAAATTATTCTTTGTTTCAAGAAGTCTTCTAACTTTTGTATAATGTTGGTAATCAATAAGGAGCTCCGCACTATAAAAGGAACAGAGAATAAGAATTTCAACCTATCAGAAATCATGTATTGTGGAATATATAGTTTCTGATAGGTTGAAATTCTTATTCTGTGTTCTCTGTTCCTTTTATTGTGCGGATCCCCTAAGTATGTAACGATACAAAAATTGAATTCCAGATTATGAAAAAATATGAGTACTTAGAATATACTTGGTCAAGCTGTATCTTCATAGATGTAATATTTATGATATATGTATAATGTTGCATTATTTTCTATGTATAAGTACTTCATATAGCATTATGTATATGTATGTGGGCAGTTTAATAAATCAATGATTTTTTAAAAGAGGATTGTTAAAAAATAAGTCGAGAATTTTATTTTAAGAAAAAAGTAAAAGTCAAACGTATCAAACTGCTTATGTACATCATAAAACGTCAAATTTGTATTGTAAAATATGCTATATTTATTGGTGTAATTGGACAATAAATGAACAAATTGAACAATTATTAGAGAATCATTTATTATTATCACAATATATATCACATTTCTGCTACATCTGAATTGCATAAAGTACTTAAATTAAATTTGTTTCTTCAAACGCAATTTTTTAATGAAATAAAATAATTGAGTTAATAAACCATTTAGCTAACACAAAAGATTTAGAATTGTTCGAAACACTTATAAACAATGAGCAGCAAGATATATAATTTCACAAAATCAATATATGTATGACAATGAAGCAATAAGAAAATATAAAACACATAAACAAATTTGTTAAAAAATAATATGGACAACATGTTTTTCTATAATAAAATATATGTTATATGTAAAAGATAATAGTAACTTAGATAATACTGATTTAAGTAATTAAGCGGGCGGCACATAATGCTTTTCTTGCTGGACTGCTAACTGGATTAGATTCTTACCACCAAGAGGCAGTGTCAACATTGCAACTAATACGGTGACAAGAATCTAATCCAACTAGCAATCCAGCAAGAACCGAGCATCATGTGTCGCCCAGCTTTATACTATTTTTCTTTTAAAAAATACTATGGATATACTATTTAATACTTATTATATTTTAATGACTCTTTCTTGAAATTTGTATTAATTCTTGCAAGATATTATTGCGTTCTTCGCGTAATGTATTAGCCTTGACAGATTGCTCGTATGTTTTTTCCACGAATTCTTCATATGATTTTCTCATTTTTTGTTGCTCTTCTAACATTTGTTGTTGTACTGCACTGCGATTTTCACTTTCTGTACGTATTTCATTGGATAATTTTTGAAAATTGTCTTTAAATACGTCCAACACACGTGCCGTTGTGCCCATTTTTTGGCACCTTTTACTTGTGATCGCCTGTATGTTACAATAATTTTTTTTATTGAAAAATAAGTTTTACTACTCTTTAAAAACATTTTCTTTTTAAAACAATTTTTTCTAATCAGTATAATGATTCTACTAACCTTTTTGCAACTTGTGCTATCATCTGTCGTAATTCCATCAGAAAATTCCTGAGTATCTATTGTGGAACAAGTTGATATGGATTCCGAACAGAATTCTTTCGTTTTCTCTAGATAATAAAATATAAATGTAGGAAATAATCGAATGATTTCCGTTGGAATTTATTTTGAATAATTCCATGATACGTACCCTGATATGGTGTTTCTGTTTTGTTTCTGTTTTCATTAATATTCATGACCTCATTATTTTCTTTGTTTGCACTGACCTGTAATGTAGACCTGTAACATTTAAAATAGATGATTATAGTTCTTATGTAAAAAAGTTAGGCTTTTATGAACATTTTATTATTGACACAATATTACTTTTTACATTAATACTATCAATTACATACGTAAACATTTAAAATAAAACTTTATTTAACATGTAATAAAAATAAAACTTACGAGGAAGTAATTGTCTTCTCTGCATTTGGATAAATTACGCCCTTGTTTCCAGATAATAATAATGGTTCTATATTATGCTTTCCGCCTAATATTTCACTTAATTCTCTATAATTGAATACAAATATGCATTATATAAATCCTTTGTAAATTTCAAATATAATAAGCATACTTACGTCTCGAAAGGACAGACTAATCTATGTCTCCCAGTTTTATTGTTATGATTTTTCACATTTTTGTATGCTCGTTCTAAAGATTTATATTTATTTTCGACTTGCAGTATGGACACATTGTATCCCTGCGATTTCATCTGTTCTGCAATCTTTTGCCACATAATTTTTTTTGTTTTAATTTTTCTTTGTGCAACAAGATTTACATGGTTCTTGTATATATGCAGGAACAATTTTGTACTGTTATCAGTCCAATGAAAGGCAGTCTCTGTGATTACTTCCTCAATTTCATCAGTTTTGTTGGTGTCTTCATTACTGACTATTTTGTTCGCACTTTTATTCGTCGATATTGCTGTGCGACATACATTGTCGTTTAATTGTATAAATATATCTCGATTATCAATTGTGCAGCATATATTATCACAATTAAAATCAATTTCTTTATCAAGTAATTTGAATTTTAATCCTCCTGCAATAGGAACTGTATATACATAAAATAAGTAAATATTTGTCAAAACAGCTTAACAATTGATAAAATAAATAATCTTCATACCTTCACTCAAACATTTGATGTATCCATTTTGGTCAACTACGACTTCTCCTGCAGCATTCTTTTGCATATACGCTCTTTCCATATATGTATCATCCATATTTTCCTCTGATTATATCGCATTCTGCAAGATAAGATACGGTCAACAATATAATCAAAATAATTAAAGAGTTGCAAGCACATGAAAAGATATTTGTTCAGATACAGGTATATATGAAAATCTTAACTGTTGTATCAAATTTTTAGGTATATAAAATAAGAACTTCTCTCGACCTAAAAGACTTACAATATTTACATTTTAATACGGAGCATTAAGAATTGATAATAAAACCATCACAACTTATTAGTTAAAAATCCTAATCAATCATTAGATCTATAAGGTTAGAAAGTCATGCTAACGCGTAATAATTAATATTAGATAATATTATACAATTTATAATATAAGCAGTGATTCCTGTATAGAAATTATTGCTCATAAAATTAAGTAGTACTTTATTATTAATTATTACGCAATTAGCATGACTTTCTAACCTTACAAATCTGAGATCAATAATTACGTTTTGTAACTAATGAATTGTGACGATTTTTACTTGTGAATTTTTAATGAAATGTATCGAAATGTAAATATTGTAATAACAAGTTTTTTAGGTCGAAAAAAATTCTTATTTTTATACACTTACCACTGTTCGTGAATTACGCGGAAATGCGCGGAATCTCATGTCACATGTGCACATAAAGGACGCCATTTTTATTTTACACTAGAACGTTTTCTATTCCTTGCCTGCACGCTCACACTTGTCAGTTCTGGCTTGCACCATGGTATAAACCATGGTTCAGTTCAGTTCAGTTCTAGTGCAATCCCAGTGCAGGAACAGAAAACAAGTTTTCAACGGCGAACGCCCAATCATTGTAATTTTCGATTCCTCTGAGCTTTGGAACACTGGCAAGATAATTCGAAGCCATATTTTATAACTTATGATATTAGATCTGGGCCCATAACCTGTTGAAATCGAAGGAAAAGTAATAACAACTCAGATCTGATACAAAGGCAAAGAGACAACATGAAAAGATGTGTAATTTATTATTAGAAGAACATAGAGTACATAAAGTAAGTATAGATGGGCACACAGCGCTATAGAGGACGCAGTTGTAACATAGATAACAGAAATAACTAAAAATAACTAGAAGAGTTTGATCTGTAATTAATGCTTTGATTTTACTTACAACAGTAGGAATTAAAAGAAAAAAGAAGTTAAATGCATTTATAGAAGAATATATATTAAATAATGAGGAAGAACGAAAAAGAAGAAGAGAAAGTCGAGAAAAAGAGCACAAAGAAAAAATACTTTGCTTCAAAGGAATACAAGATGTAATGCAACGATTGCTAGAAAAAGAAAATAAAAGCACTTAAACTCAAGGTTTACCAAAATGTGATAAATAACTATAAGTTTTATAAAAATAAGTTACAGTTTATGAAATAGTTAAACTTTATTAATAGAAAAGTTATAAAATAATGTTCAGGTTTTTAAAGTATATTAAAGCGCATAAAAAAGATAGATGTTTTATTTTTTTTTTTGTTTCTAAGTTAGAACATTCATGCTAGTTTCTGCCAATGTCGATTAAAAAGAGATTTATAGAAAGAATGGTTTGCGCGCGCACGCGTATGGACTGAGATTAAAGTTACTTTACATTTAGTCTATTTTCTGTTCCTGCACTAGACTGTTCTAGAACTCTCTTTCTCGCTTTAAATAAAAATTAAACGTATTTCTATCCTACTTTAAGTTTCAAAAGTGTACACTAGTTCAGCCACAGAAAACAGATCTATTGATGAAAACGACATTGAATGTTTCAAAATATTTCAAAATGTAATACATACGAAAATGTGATATATATGATAAGTAAGCTTATTATTTCATAAAAGTATATTATAGTTTACAAAAATAATTAAACTTTATTAATAGAAAAGTTACATAAAATAATGTTTGTATTTTTGAAGATATAATGTAGCAAACGCACGTATAAACAAGGGTAAATACTTATTTTTTATTTTACTTCTGAGTTAGAACATTTATGCCCATTTCTACGTAGATTAAAATCTAGATTTCAATATAGATTAAAAAGGATGTATAGAAAGAATGGTAATACCAAAATAGTTCTTCATTTTTAGTATTAATATATGTACTTATTTGTAACGATGTTTGGTTAATGTAAACCCATATTAAATCTATATTAAAATTATTCTATTTGTGTATTTAACTTATATAAGACCTATCTTAGGCCGGCATTTATAGTACTCGTATTCATATACGGCACGCTTTACGCCAAAGTTATAACATCGATGTTATGAAACTGGTCAATCACAGTCATTCCATTCTTCAGAGGAATAGCTATGATTGGCCAGTTTCATAACATCTATGTTATAACTTCGGCGTAAAGCATGCTGTGTAAACGTAGTAATTGTTTCTTATTTTATGATCGTATCAAGCAATATCTTAAGATGCTAATACAGTTCTGTGATTGGCTTATAACATTTTAAAACTATTATCTTAGGATTATACTAAAGGTGGTCTCAAAAATAAGAACAGACTATGAATACCGACTTTAAACTTATATTTAATCTATTTTAAAACTATATTATACTAACTAATATAAAATCTATACTATTTACTCAAAAATTATATTGCACTACAGCATACATAATGCAATTTCTTTTATCGATACCTTCCCTTTGTGCAGCATTACACTAATGTGTTTGACTGTTCCCTAATATTACTTTCGTTATTAATGATGATAGGAATATCAATCATATCATTTTTTAATAAACAGATATTGTATAGAATGCAACATGCAATTATGTATTTTGGAATTAAATCTGTTCTCTGCATTGGAAGTATATCTAAAAGACTTCGAAAGCGGCCTTTTAACAGAGCTATTGATCGTTCCACTTTTATTCTGACAGTAGAGAGACGTGTATTGAAATGAACTTGTCTTTCAGACAAATGACCGTTGTCTTTGAACGGTACAATTACGTACTTGGTAAGACAGTATACTACATTACCCAATATATTATTATTATTTATTATGTATATATATATATATAGTATACACAAATAGTAAGGCACCAGCAATACTGCTGCTACTACGCCCACTAGTAAACTATTCGACTAAAGAAATACAAAGGTACAGAAATACATAATTGATTACCGCACAACATACAAATATTAATATAATTAATGAAAAATAATTTCTAATGTGTAAATATGTGAACCATACATGGAGAAATACAGAGCGCAAAATACAGCGAAATTTACAAGAGAAATAATACGAGAGAAATAATAGTCTTACAAAGTCGATATGAATTTTGCAGCAGCTGAACGAAACGAATGAAGCAAGGCAGATGAACGGATGAAAGAGGGTAACACATTATAGAATTTAGTGGCAGTATAAGAAAAAGCAGCCTTAAATTTGGATGTACGATGCCTGGGAAAGGATAAGGAATCATGATAACGAGTGACAGGAGTATTTTCAGCATGGAGAGCAGAATTTAAATTCAAAAGACTGCGGAGATATCGAGGAATGCCTGAGCGCAAAAGACGAAATACAAGACAGCACAAGTGGAGGACAAAACGCTGATGAACTTTCAGCCAGCCGGAACGCAAAAAACTAGGGGATATATGATCGTATTTACGAATGTTGTACGAGAAACGAAGGCATGAATTCTGTATACGCTGAATCCGGGTAAGGAGTTTATGAGACAGAGCCGGAATGTAAATCAC